CAGCTGGTGAACTTGAGCCATCTACCTTGAGGTTCAAATCAACCTCGCAGTCCAGTGCACTAGCCTACAGCGCTACACCAGGACTCCATATATATATATATGTATATATGTTGTTGTTGTTATGTGCCTTAGAGTCGGTTCCAACTCATAGCGACCCTGTACAGGGTTTCCAAGACTGGAAATCTTTACGGGAGTAGAAAGCCTCATCTTTCTCCTGCGGGAACAGCTGGTAGTTTCAAACTGCTGACCTTGAGGCTCACAGCCCGATTCGTAACCAAAACCCAGCAATCATTTTATGGGAGAAAGATGAAGTTTTCTGTTCCTGTAAATATTTATAGCCTCAGAAACCCTATGCAGGGTTGCTGTGAGTCAGAATTGACTTGAAGGCATTGAGTGGATGAGTTTTTATAGCAACATTTACTTTGGTTGACTTAAACCCTTGCACTCCTCCCCTTGTCTTCCTTGCCTCCATCTTTTTGTTTATTTTGCCATCTTCCCTATTATTGTATATTACTTGCTTCTTCATCCAAATGAACACATGTCTACCATCTGTCCATTAAAATTTCCTCCCTTACCTCCCTGGTAACCATCAAAGAAGGTTTTTTTGTAACATGGAAACCTTTTCTTGACTTTTTACAATAGTGGTCTCATACAATATTTGTCCTTTTGTGATTGACTATAATTTCACTCAGCATAATGCCCTCCAGGTTTATCCATGTTTTAAGGTGTTTCACAGATTTGTTATTCTTTCATTTTGCTTAGTAGTCCATTGTGTGAATACACCAGTTTGTTTATCCAATCTTCCATTGATGGGCATTTAGGTTACTTCCATCTTTTTGCAATTGTGCATAGTATTTTGATGAATATTCATAAGTCTTTCATTGGCTTTGAATTTTCTCTCAAACCAAATCAGTCTTGAGCTTCTCTTTTACTTTTTTCCATAATTAGAGTCATCCATAATGATCTTCCCTAAATCATACTCCATATACCATAGCTGGAATGACAACTGGAAAAAGTCCATGTTTATGCTCACTCCAAAGGAAGATTTGTTGTTGTTGTCAGGTGCCATCGAGTTGGAACCGACTCATAGCGACCCCATGCACAGCAGAACAAAACAATGTCCGATCCTGGGCCAACCTCACTACCGCTGCCACACTTGAGTCCATCAATGATGCCACCTGGCCGATCCATCTCATTAGGGGTCTTCCTCTTTTTTCTGACCCTCCACCTTACCCAGCATGATATCCTTCTCCAGCGACTGTTTCCTCCGGACAATATGTCCAAAGGAAGATAGCCAGTGAAATACAGCAATTATCAAACAGTATCATTTATATCACACAAGTACACAAGTAAAATCATGTTGAAGATAATTCAAAAACAGTCACTAACAGAGTTCTGCCAGAAATTCAAGCTAGATTCAGAAGAGGTCATAGAACAAAGGACATCACTGCTGATGTCAGATGGATCTTGACTGAAAGCAGAGAATACCTGAAAGATGTTTGCTTGTGTTTTATTGATTATGGAAAGACATTTGATCATGTGGATCATGATAAATTATGGATAACATTGTGAAGAATTTAAATTTTATTATCTTTATGAATGTTCATGTACAACCTGTACATAGATCAAGAAGCAGTCCTCCAAATTTAACAAAGTTCTACTGTGTGATTCAAAATCAGGAAAGGTGTGCTTTTGAGTTATGTCCTTTCCCCACATTTATTCAATCTGCATGCTGAACAAATAATCGGAGAAGCTGGATTATAAGAAGAACAAAGTGACATCAGAATTGGAGGAAGACTCTTTAACAACTGTAGCTATTTGGATGCCATATCCTAAGGCCTTGCTGAAAGTGATGAAGATTTGAAACGCGGACTGATGAAGATCAGAGAATATAGCCTTCAATATGGATTACCCCTTATCATAAAGAAAACAGAAACCCTCACAACTGGACCAATATGCAACATCATAATAAAAGGAGAAAAGTTTGAAACTGTCAAGGATTTCATTTTACTTGAATCTACAATTAGCACTTCTAGAAGTCGCAGTCAAGAAATCAAATACTGTATTGCATTAGGCAAGTCTACTGCAAAATACCTCTTTAAAGTGTTAAAACTAAGTCTGTCATTTGGAAACCTAAGGTGCTTCTGACATAGG